ATATATTTAATAATTTTTTTTTATATAATAAAATATTTTATTCTTATATATCAATTTTAATACTATTTTATAATTTTTTTTTTTAATGTTATAAAACAATTGCTATACATAATTTGAAACTAAAATAAATTTATAATTGAAAATAAATTTAATAATCAAAGAGAATATATAAATATTTAATTAAAGTAAATTATAATTTAAAAAATAAAAAATTTTATATTATTTAAATATTATTTTTTATATAAATATATATATATAAATAAATATTAATATTTTTTTTTTTTTTAATTTTAGAAAATAATATTTATATCAATCTGATAATAAAAAAAGAAAATAATTTAAACATACAAATAAATCATATAATTTTTATTATATAAAAAATGTTTTTAAGATTAAATAAAAAAATTAAAAGAGAAAAAATAAAAGATATTAAAACATATATATAAATAGATATTTATATATAAAAAAATATAAATAATTTTATTATACATATTTATATATATTAATATATAATTATTAGAAAGTTTTATTTATATTATAATTTTTATATAAAAAAAACAAAAATAAAAAAAATAAAAAGATTTAAAATGCTTTTTAACTTACTTTAATTCTTAGCTGAATTATTTTTTATTTATTTATTGCCTTTAACCGCCTCTTTAGCTGTATTAGGTAATTCATAAAAATGTCCTAATACTTAAAAAAGATGGATTTTACATTGGATTTTTGTATTGTTTTCTACTTATACTTTATATCCTATTTTTTCCATTTTTCCAGAATTTTTAGAAAATGTATTCAGAATTTTAACTGCAGTTGGTTTATTTTATATTGATAAAGTTTTAGGTGAAAAACTATATTAACTAATTTAATCATCAAATCAATAAGCATTAGAATTAGTTGATGTCGTGAGAAATCTTGCAAGATAATAATTATTAAAATTCAATCTTGTTAAGGAAAAATCATAATAATGAGAAAATAAAAAAACAACGATTTAATAAAAAGAATCAGAAAATATATATTTAAAATTAATAAAAAATTAAAATATAATAGTATTATTATATGTTTAAAAAAAAAATTAAAAACCATCTTTTTAATTGAAAATAATTTCATTATAATATTATATTTTTTATAAAAAAAAAAAATTATTAATTTTTTTTTTAATCTTTATTTATTATAAAATAATAATATATTTGATTGTTTGCTTTAATATTATTTTTTATAAATTTACATATATATATATTACTATAATGAAAATGTATTTAATTTTTTCTGTAATTTTTATAAAAAACATATGAAATAAAAATGTAAAAAAAAAAATAGGCTTATTTTAAAAAAAAGCTATTTAAAAAAAATTAGTGAAAAAATATAAATATAATATCATTAAAAGTAAAATATATATTATTCTTAGAATCTTGTTTTTTATAATATAATTTTATTAAAAACTCAAAAATAATTAAAATTGTAAAATAAATTTTTTATCTTTTTTTATCTTTTTTTATCTTTTTTTATCTTTTTTTATCTTTTTTTAATAGATTTTTATTACATTATAAAAAAACATTAAAAAATTATGATAAAGAAATAAATAAAAATATATTTTATTAAATTAAAAATAAATAAATATAAATATAATATCAAAAGAGGGATATATTAATTTAATTTACTAAACTATTATATTTAAAAGTAATAATATCCATATTTAAGCATTTTAAATAAAGATTATATATTAAAAAATAAAATTAAAGTATTTTTAAAAAAATAAATTAAAAAATAAACAAAAAAAATAAAAATAAAAAAACTAAATGTCAGAAGAAGTATTTAATGAATATAATAAGATTAAAAATATTAAAATAAATAATATATATATATATATATATATATATATATATATATATTAATTATTATAATTATAATTATATATATAATTTAATTTTTTTTTAAAAAAAAGTCTATCGAAATATTTTTAACAAAACAATAATAATAAAGCATTAACATATGTATGCCAAAAGGATATTCATTATAATATATTTCAAAACGTAATATTAAAGTATTTTATATTTATTTTAAATTTTAAAAAAAAAAAAGGTTAAAATTAAATATCTAATTCATCTTTAACAACAAAACCATAAACTATTCCATAAATATCAAATGCTTAATAAAGTACAAGTAGTATAAATATGAATATGGATACAAGCTTAAATCGTAGTTCAAACAAAAAAAGATAAATAAAACAAACCTTAAAAACTTAATCATAAAAAAGCCGTCGAGAATAATTAAATTCAATATCAGTTTCGACTAATTCTATTAACAATTAAGGAATGTCAGCAGACATGAAATAATGTATGGTAATATTATAAAGGCTAAAAAAGAATGAAAATGCTATTCCATTTTTATATAGGGTTGATACTATATAATAAAATTGTCCTAATTATTATTAAATAATAACAGAACCAATGGATTTATCTTAAATAGAATTAAATTTAAAATTAAATTAATATTAAACAAAATCATAATTTGCAGCTGATGTTAAAAAGATTTGGAGAAACTCATTTATTTATAATCCTAAAGGAAGCTAAATATATTATATGACAGTAAAAATGAGTGCTTTTTTTGAAAAATTATTTTCTTAAATTGAAAATATATCTCCTAGAAGAATTAATTAATATTAAAATAATTATAATAAAATTTCTTAGTATAAATAAAAAAGTTTATTTATTTTATATAAATATTTAAACAAAAAATTAGAAATATTAATTTATTGACTAAATAAGTAAATGGTTTAGCTAAAACTGAAACTAAAATTGATAAAATGAATATTCCTTTAACTATGAATGAAAAAAAATAATTGGGAACAAATATTAGAAATCTTGCTCCTGAAGATTTAAATGGAATCTGGAGTATTGTTTAAGATGATAATTAACATAATAGTGAAGTTATTGAATTTGATATAGATACTTTACCAATAAAAAAAGCGAGGAAATTAGAATAATATGTAAAATAAAAGCTTTTAGAATATACAAAGAAAAATAAAGGGGGTAAATAGATTTAAAATCAAAGAAATGTATTCTTTTAAAAATAAATAATAAAAATGAATATAATATGATAATATTTTTTTTGTTATATATATATATTAGAATTTAAATTATGGATAAAATAATAGATAATAATCTAATTAAAGAAATTAAATTATTTATAATGAAAATTTATAAAATGGAAAATTAAATAAAAACTAAAATTAATTATTAAATGAAAATAATTCTTAATAATAATTTAATTAAATTTAATAACAAAACTAATAAAGCATTTAATCTATGTAAAATAATAATTAAGAAGACAGCAATAGTTCTTCCTCTTAATTTATTTCTGGTATATTATTATAATTATTACAATTTATTTTTAAAAAAATATATATTAGAAAGTGAAGAAGATTGATTAAAATTTATTTTTTTTGTTTAAAAAAAAAGTATTTTAATATTATAATAATTTTTAATTTTTTATATTTTTTTATTTTTTTTGTTTTTTTTATTTTTTTTATCTCGTTCTCTTTGTTAATATTTAATAAACTAAATATATATTTTTTTTAATGTTTAAATATATCTTTTTTAATACATAATTATATTTTATTGTTTTATACAATATATTATTATTTTTAATTATAAATATAATTTTATATTAATTAAGTATTTTTATTTAATTTATTTTTTATTATATTATTAAATATTGTATTAAAATATTTATTTATAATAATTTATTAATAACTTTCCTAAATAAAATTTATAAAATTTTAGAAATTCTTGAAAAAAAATGAATTATATAATATAATTTAAAAGATAATAGTTTTAAAAATTCATATTAAAACGAAAGAGTAGAAATCATCAACTGTAAAAAATTTTTTTTTTTTTTTATTATAAAAAAAATAATAATAATGTATATTTTTAAAATAAAGAAAATTAAAGTAAATAATTATAAATAAAAAGGTAATAAAGTTCAAATATAGAATTATATAATTTTATTAGATAAAAAGGTATTAAATAAAATAAAAATCTTAAATTCAAATAAAACTATTAATTAAAAATATTATAAGATAAAAAAATAGATATAATTAATAATTTTATATTAATATAAATAAATAATTATATATTTTTAATGAAAAATAAAAATAAAATAAAAATTAGAAGAATAAATATTAATAAAAAAATATTAAAACAATTAAAAAAATATATAAAAAGAATTATTTAAATACTATATAAATAAAAAATATATAAAATAAATTATAATAAAAAAATATAAATAAAGAAAAATAGATATATTATAAAAATATATATTTAAATAAAATATATAAATATATATATAAATATATATATATATATATTAGATATTAGATATATTTTATTTTTATATTATTTTTTCATATTTCAAAATTTTATTAAAAATTCAATACTTAGAAATATTTATATTACAAATTTTTATATTTTGATTTTAAAGCAAAAAATTTTTTTTATTTTTATGTTATGATATTAATGGAAATATCAACAAATTATTAATTATATATATTTTATTTAAATAATATAATAATTTTAAAATCTTATTAACATATTTCTTAAAAAATTTTATATATGCTTAGAGATATTACAATATATGTCATTATAAATACTTTTTTTGATATTGGCTAATCAAAATAATAATAATAATTTTATATTTAAAAAAATATGTTTTTAAATTAGAAATGATATTTTAGAAAGAATACTTTATTTAATAAAATTAATATTACGTTTTTAAGGTTTATATTTTGAGACAAAAGAAAAAAATATTTGAAGTTAAAAATTAAAAAGCTGCCTACTTTTTTAGATACCAAGGGTTTTAATATGAATGATAGCTAAATTAGTTTTTATTTAAAGAAGATTTTTAAAGAATATTTTTTTAAACATAATTATTAATAGGATTATATTTATGATTATATGTAATATATAATTTATTTTATAATTAAAAAAAATAAAAAATAAATAAAATAGTATTATTTATTAAAAAATTAAAAGAGTAAAGAAATATCTTATATACATAAAAATACTATAATGGATGAAAATCTTTAATTTTATAATATAAAAAGAAAAAAAACACAATTATTATAAATAATAAATATAAATAGTTTTTTTTTGATTTTATAATTATTATATATATATATATATATATATATATATATATATATATATATATATAATATATTTGATTAATTTAATATAAATGTATATGTTAGTAAAAATACAAATATTAATTAGGTTTTAAATTAAAAGATTAAATTCATTTATATTAAATTTATTAAGTTTTCAAACAAAACTAATAATAATAATAAGATAGGGAATCATATAGATAGAATGACAAATAATACTGAAATCGAATTTAGCATTATTAAGAATTATAGTAATATATAAATTTTAATTTCATTAAATAATAAAGCAAAATTTATTAAATATTTAAAGAGAAACAGTAGGATTAACCTTTAGTAAAAGAATATATATATTATTTTAATATTTTTATTTTTATTTTTTTAGGTGATTTTTTTTATTAAAAACTAACTTTAATAATAATTAAAAAGATTAAGGCTTTTATCTTTTGATTGAATTATTTGAAAATTAAAGAATACATATATATTAAAATTTATACAGTTATATTAAATATTATGAGTGTTAATATATAATTTAAATTAAAAAGTTTACTATATTAATATATAATATAAATAAAATCAATTAATATTATGTATAATGAAATACAAATACACATTATTTAAAAATATTTATAATAAATGTATATATATATGTATATTTTATATAAAAAAAATAAAAGAAACATAATTGTATTTAAAAAATAATATATACAAAACTAATTAAAAAAAAAAAATGTTTCAATTCTCCTATTCTAAATATTCTATTTCTTTTTTAGAATAGTAAAGTTCATTAATATAAATTATATATTTAAAATTAATCAAGAACTTTTTCATTCCAGAAGTCCATAAATCAATATTTTTCATAATAGATATTTCAACATAATCAATTTCACATTTTTAAATATCAATATTATAAGGAAGTTTAACTTCTTCTACATAATCTCCTATTTTAACTTAATTTATCAAAAATTCATAAAAACAATAAAATTCTTTCAATAATAATTTAATGGCTTAATCAAATCTACTATATTCGCTTTAATAATTCAATGGTCCATATAGTTAAAGAATTTAATTTTTCTCAATTTCACAAATCTAACTTTCATTTGCACATAAGTTAATGTCTTTAATAAATTTCATCTCATATCCATATTTTTTTACCAAATAAGAAAAAAGCATTGCTATTTATCCCAAACCGGCATTTGTTTCATCCCATACGATTTCTTAGTTTAATTTTTTTCCTATTATTATATTATTTATTGTTCCTGCTTATTCATCACATTATATATTAAAAACTTAATTTAGTGTATTATAAGTATTTAATTTTATTAATTGCTCATTATAATGTTTTTCTTGGTTTTCAGCTATTTATTTTTTTTCTAATACTTAATAGAGATTTTTCTCAAATATATTTACTTCGTCCCAGTATTCATTTTCTTATTATTCATAGGTGAGTATTTTTTCCTTTAATTCGAAAATTTTTTAGTTTAATTCTTCCTCTTCTTATTCCAATTATTTGTATTCTTGCTCTATTTCGGTTTCGTTTTTTTATTCGGATGTTTTTATGAGGTTAATTTCATGAGTTACGTGGCTTATTTTAGAATTTATTTCTGTTAAGTTTATTTGGATTTCGTTTATTTATTTTTCTAATTATTCTATTTCTTTAGTTCCTTATTCTAATTTCTGTTTACATTCAAAACAATAATATTGTTTTTCGTAATTTATGGTAAAAAATAGAAGTTGTTCTTATTTTATTAATATATTTTTTTATTAAAAAATAAAATAAAAAAATTAACCTTATGTTTTTTCTTCTTTGCATGAATTACAATTTAGCTTAATTGATTCTTCTTCTTCTTCTTTTTTCTATTTTTTTTTTTTTTTTTTTCTATATAGAGTTTAAAAATACCTTTATTTATTATCTAGTTGTTTTCTTAATTGGAATCGCTTTAGTTTTTATTTATATCGTCTTAACTTTAACTATTCATTTTGTATCTTTGAATATTTAATTAAAGAATTATATAATTTTTATTATATTTTTTATTAATTTTATATTTAATTTCTTCATTGTATATATAAATTTATAAATAAATTTAAAAGTGATTTAAACAATATGATATAATTATATTAATAAATAATATAATAAAAAAATCATATAGAAAAGGTAAACGAAAAATTAATTAGTAAATTTACAATTTTAATTATATAAATATAATTATTTATAGTTAATATATAATATATTATATATATATATATATATATTTTGTATTATTTTTTAGTTTTTATTTTTTAAAAAAATATTATTAATTAAAAAAAAAAAAATTAATTATTATTATATTAAAAATTTATAATAATGACATCAAAAGAAAAAAGCTCAGGATAAATCAATACATAAATGGATATTTTGATTAAGCATGGAGAAACGGGCTAAACTTAAACTTATAATAGCATATAATCAGATTAGAAGTTTTTATTTTTAAAAAATTAATTTTATATATATTTAGAATTTTTAATTTTTCAATTTTTAACTTTTAATAAGAGTACTCTATATTCAATAATTAATTTAATAAGATTTTAAAATTGATTTAAAACATCAAATTATACTAACTAAAAGTGGTTTTAAAGTATAGTCTGATGATATTTTATATGAAATTTAAAGAGATAATGCTTTATCTTAAACTTCAAGTATGAATGAAAATAAAATCATGAAATAATATAATGTAAAAGTGTTTATATGCTTTTCGTTAATATTATTATAATTTTTTGTTAATAAAGGTGTTTTTCATATTCGATGAATAAAATTTAAGTGATTGTTTAGATTAATTATAATATTTAAGTATTCAAAATTAATAATAAATATAAAGTTTTAATAAATCTAATGATGGAGGTAAACAAACTAATATTGAATTTTTTTATAAAAATATAAATTTTTATTAGATTTAAATATAAATGATTGTTTAATATAAATATAATTTTCTGAAGAATAAAAAATTAAACTAAATGACAAATAACCAAATATAATAGAATTAGAATAAAAAATATTTGACCATTATTAATTATTAAAAGCAATTTAAAAAATAAAAAAATTAATATAGACATAATTTTTTGTTTTTATATATATAGAAAAAAAACATAGAGTTTTAAAATAAATGCGAAAAAATTGAAAAAATAGCAAAAGAAATCGAAACTTAATCATCCTCTTTAGAGTCTATTTTAATGCGTTCTATTAATGAATATTCTATTTGCAAAAATAGGAAAACTGAAGTTTTTTAAAAAATTAAATCTTTTTCAGAAAAGAATAGCAAAATTTTAAATAAATATGAAGAGTTTATTTAGAATGTAAGAAAATTAAAACAAATAAAATAAAAGTCATATTTTTTTTTTTAATATATATAAAAAGAGTAAATAATTTGAAATACATGATTTGCTTAAAAAAGAAAATAAAAAATATTTCTATGAGAATTTTTATGATGAAAAATAAGCAGAAATGCTATAAATGCATTGCGTAAATTAATAAGATAAAATTAAATAAAAAAATATCGAATATGACTAGAATATAAAAGCACTTAAAAAATAAATATAAGAATAATAAAAATATGTTTTTGCAAATTAAGGCATTTAAAAGTATTTTTTTGGTTTTTTTATTTATATATATAAAATACAATAAAAAGTTCATTTGAAATACTGAAAAAATTCGAGGATTAAATTTGTTAAGGAAAAATTTTTTTTATTAATACTAATAATAAAATATATGAAGATTATAATATTTTAAGAAAAATTATAAATGAAATATTGGAAAAAGGAGAACTTTCAAATGAAGAAGAAAATTAATAAAATTAATTATATGAAACAATAAATAATTATAAAATGTAGATAGAAACAATAAATGTTCATTTAGAAAATTAGTTAAAAATATATTAATGTTTATGTGAATAAAAAGGAAATAACTACTAAAAAATATAAAGAATATATTCTAAATTAAACTCAGTAACAAAAGAATTAACTAAATATACTTATGAGAAATTCAAATAACTAGAATATGAAGTTTTAAAATTAGAAAAGGTATTTGTAGAAATATAAAAACCTATATAGCTTTTTAGTAATTATAAATAAATTATAAAAGAGATAAGTAGAAGAGTTGAATTTAGTGAAATTTATTAAAAATGTAAAAAATTTATTAAAAATATAAAAAAACTAAAAATGTATATATATAATTAAAAAAAAAAAAAAAAAAATGATTAAAATAAAAAAATAGAAATTAAAAATAAAAATATATATATAATTTTAAAAAAATACGATTAAAATAAAAAAAAAAATAGAAATTAAAAATATAAATGGGTTTATAAAATGTGAGAATGAAAAAAGATAAAACTTCTTTAATTTTTTTTCAAGTTTTTACCTTAAGATTTTATGCCGGAATTAAAAAACTTTGTTTCTTATATCGAAGATTTTAACGAAAAGATACCAAAAATTATTGATGAGAAAGAAAAAGTGTATTCTGGATATTTCCAGGAAGGGAAAAAAATACAAATATTGGAATAACAAATTGATGATATGAATAAAGTATTAGCAAATACGAAAAATTATTATTAAAATAACAAAGAAAATATATTATTTATAAATAATGAAAATTAATAAATATAAAAGTTAAATTAAAGAATCAATAATTTAACTGTATTATTATAATAAACATCCAAAAAAAACTTCGAGTCTTTTTTTAAAAAATGTATGGAAGAAAAAGAATAATCTTAAATATAATCTGAGAGATTGAAATCTATTGAAAACAAAAACTAATAATTATTAGAAGAAATAAACTTTAAAGCTAAAACCATTAAAAATGATTAAGAAAAAATATAGAGTATTTTTTAATTAATTATTTTTTTACAATAATATTTGTATATATATAATTTTTTTTAATTTTTCTATATTTTTTTTTTAATAAAAAACTCAATCAATAAAAATAAATAAATATATATATATATATATATAAATATATATATATATATATATTTATATAAATTAAAAAATGAATAAATAAATAATATAAAATAGAATTGAACATATAAATTAGTTAGAAATAAAAAGAAATTGATGATTTAATTTCTTAAAATTAATAAATAGAAAAATAATTAAAGAATGAAAACAAGAGAAATATATAAGAAATTTAGACTGAAAGTTAAAAAGAATAAGAAAGATTAAGAAAAAAGAATGCATAATTAGAGCTAGAAATATAAAACAAATAGCAATATATATAAAATTAATAGAAAGAATATAATAATTTAAAGAAAGAAATCGAATAAAGGGAATAAGAAATATAAAAGTATAATTTTTATTATTAAAATATAATAAATATAAACAAAAAAGTAAATTAAATGAGATTGAATAATCAAAAGAAGAAAAAGAAAAAATAAAAAAAGAAAAAATCAGTTTAATAGTAAGAATCGAAAACTAAGATTAATTATTAGAAAAAAAAAGTTAAGAAATTTCTTAATTTTAGAAATAAAATAATATAATATAATCCGATAAAAATTAAATACAGGAAATTTCATAAAAATAAATATAAGAATTATAAAAAAACACAGAAAAATTAAAAAATGAATTAGAAAAAAAATAAAACTATATTGATTTATTAAAGTAAGAAAACGAAAAAAAATAAATAGAAATAAACCAAATTTAAAAATAAATATTTTAAATATAAAACGAATAAAGACTTAAAATTAATGATTTAAACGAAGAAATATAAAAAAACAAAATCGATTTAAATGTAAA